CCCGTACTATACAATGAGCCAATTTTTTCATAAAAAATATTAAAAAGTCTAAGACAACTTGAGACTTGGATCCTTTCCCTACCACTTCCAAGCAACTTGGGTTTGGCCTACCCTTGGATTTGGAAGGTAATACTATACTCATGTTAATAATAATAATTTTTTTTTTATCTTTCAAATCAAATCTATGTTTTTTAGTTAGTAATAAAATTATTTTAAATTTAATAATATTAAAGAATTTAATAATATTTATGATAGTAGTAATAATATTAAACTTATTTAACCTAATTTTTTATTGTTTTTAATCCCTTCAAATAAAACTTATTGTTTTTCTTCGATTCTAATAATATTTATCTTCACATAATAATAATAATAATTTTACCCTTTAAATCAAATCTATGGTTGTTTTTTCAAAATTAATGATATATTTTTTAAGTTTCTTAATTACGATATTAATGATATTAATTATAATAAAAATAATAATATTTATAAAAAAATAATAATATTTTTAATATCAACAATATTAATTATAATAAAAAATAAAAACATTCCTAAGACAAATAATATTTTTTTTAATATTAATAAAAATAATAATCTTAATTATAATAAAAATAAGAAAATTTATAATACAAATAATAATATTTTTAATATTAATAACATTAAAATTAAAAATATTTTTAATAATATTAAACTTACTCAAGTTTAAATGAGTCTAACTGTAATACTAGATCCAAGAGCTTTGTGCCGCTCTTAAACACTAGGATTAAGAGCTTTGGGTTTGGCTGCAATCTAAACGCATGAGAGTTGGGTGAGGATGCTTGACTCAAGTGTCTTGAGTCAAGTACGACTAGAAAACCCAAGAAATTTGGGTTTACTTCCCTGTCATTCCCAAACAACTTGAATTTCGTATGTCCTTTTAAACTCAATAAACTTGAGTCTGAAAGGGTATATCAGACCCAAGTTAATAATAATTAATTTTATCTTTCAAATCAAATCAATATTTTTTTCAACAATAATAAAATTTATTTTAAATTTAATAATATTTATGATATTAATTATAATGTTAAACTTATCTGGCCTAAGTTTTTATAGTTTTTAATCATTTCAAATAAAACTTATTTTTTTCTTCTATAGTAAGAATATTTTTATTCAATTTTATTAATGATAATAATAAGAAGAATAATAATAATTTTACCCTTCAAATCAAATCTATGGTTTTTTTTTTCAAAATTAATGATATATATTTTTAAATTCCTTAATCATGATGTTAATAATATTAATTAAATTAAAAATAATAAAATTTATAATAAAAATAATAAGATTTTTAATTTTAACAATATTAATTATAATAAAAACAACCTATTTATAAGATAAATAATAATATTTTTAATAGTAATATTAATAATACTAATAATAATAAAATTTAAAATATTTAAAATATAAATAATAATATTATTAGATATGGCTACACAACTAAATTCAAGAATATTGAGTCGAGTTATCCAACTATACCTAATATTCAAGGAGGATGGAGATAAAAAGAAAACTAGAAAGATTATAAAGGTAATTACTATGTATAAGCCAATATAAGGCTAATTTTTAATTATTTTTTTAAAATTTTTAAATTTACAAAAAAATAATAAAATATTATCTCTGCCCATTACATCAGGGTTAATAAACTAGAACTTACTTAATAAGTTAACTTAGTAATTTATATAAAATTAAGAGCTAATCCACATTGAGTTATATATTAAATTATTCGGGGGTTGATCCAATTAAACTAAATCAACATGTCAAGTTATCACATAAGCTGGTTCACCTTATTAATATGCTTTTTTAACCTAATTCTTAAATTGAATTATAAATTGAATTAAGTTTAATAACAACCATGTTTATGTAGGGGTGGAAACAATGGAGAAAGGAAGGAAGAAAAAGAAAAGAAAAGGGGGGGGGGTGTTTTCAATTATTTGAAAATGTGAAGAAAAATCGAGATATTGAAAAAGAGTAGAAAAATTTGATGCTAGTTCACCATTCTCTTGTTTCTAAAACCATGGAACAAGTGTGGAAAAAAGAACAAAAAGATAAATATCATGGTTACATGAATTTGCCTTATTTTTTTAATGCATACTATTCCAATAAAATTATAATTCTATTTTAATTAATTTTCTCTATTTGCTACTTCCCCCAGGTTTTTCTATAGGTCTTTCCATGCACTTTTCCCCCCTCCCATTTTCTTTTCCTTCTTAATAAAAGAAAGAAAATCATACCGAATACCATTACTAAATCTCTTTTTTCTTTTCTTGAGGGGTTTCTTAGTCTATCTCTATATAATAAGATGAATTCTCAATCCATTCTTACTTTTTTTTTTCTTTATTATGTCAATTTAATTCCTAAATAAAGACTTTTTTAATATATCCTATTTATTTTTTCTCTCCAAACAAATAAAAAAATGAAATCACATGACTTACACAGAGTATATCTTCATGTAGAAAAGATCACCTTACTCTAATGACTTACACATGGTATATCTTCATGTAGAAAAGATCACCTTACTCTAAATAGAGTAAGGAACTCATATATCTTTATATTTTAAAATTTTTGTTACGTATAATTATATTAATTTTATCCTTAATGTTTAGTTAATAAATCAGAAGAATAATAGTTTATATAAAATCTAAACATTGAAATCATGTGAAATCTTAAATGTCAAAACAATATCATTTAAAAAAATAAAAAGTCAAACCAACTAGGTCACCAATTATCTAATTTAGAACAAGTCAAGATTTATCTGCTAAGCCAAGTTTAGTTTTTAGGTGTCCCCGTGAGTTTTCACCAGACTTGATGTGAACTAAATATAGACATCACCAAAATTCCCATGAGATTATAAAAAATGCAGAGTCATCATCGAAAACCTTTAATATCCAATTAACTGGCGGATAGCTGAACAAAAAATCGGACCATGCTGTTCCACATATATATATTAATGTGTTGCAGAAGCAGTTTCACAACCTCATGTATGTCAGTTCTTGTAATAAACAAGGAAGACTAATGTGCTGCAAGATGATTTCGTGATTCAGACAACTGCAAACTAAATTCATCTCTTATTGTTCTAGCAAAATACAAGGGAATTGCTACCCGAAAGCAAGGCTGCTCGAAGTTTTTCTTCAACTCGTTGTTGCTCCAGGCAACTTTCTTAGAGGTCCTCCGGGCCATTAGTTTTCTGGGCACAGAAAAACTTGATAAACTCCATAGCGAGCCAATTCAAAGAATGTTTTAATTGTGATAAATCATGCAAGGGTAGTATCTTACCTTGTTCTGAATTACGACTCCATCTGCTATTTCCAATTTCACACCAGATTTCACCGCGATGCTCACTTTTCCCTGCAGAGGTGATGGAACAGAATTTCTAGTGTCAATCATGAAGGTTTTTACCAAGAAAGACAAAGGTAACAAAACTATAATTACATGTAACACGTTAACATGATGGAATTTATATTATTCGCAAGCTGTTGAGAATCAATACAAGGCCAGGCATAGAGCTTAGTGGTCAATGAAAGATCTCTCTATACAGTCAAAACAATCATCTATGGCCATGATTATACAAAATGAAGTCTCAACAACACCCAGCTAAGGAAAAACACTTCCAAAATGATGTTAAGCGAAGAGTTCATTAATGGTTTTTTGTAGAATGAGCACAGGATAAAAAGGTCATTAGCAAAGAGATTGAGAGTAGAGTGAGTAAACAGAACTGGAACCAGAGAGCTATTGCGGTAGCGTTAGTCTCCTTCAAGATATGGGTTTTCCTTTTCCATTGCCACGATCTTATTTATTCTGATAATCACAATGATATTAAGATGAAGATGTTTTTATTAAATGTATCAAATATATTAAAATTGGCCATCCCTTTATATATCAACAAAAGTACAGTTAATTTTAGGACTCGTGGTGCGTGCAAACTAGCCCGGACACCCACGTTAATCTAATAATAAAAAAAAAACAAACGTACAGTGCCATTATCTCTCTGGTTTGTGTTTCTTCCATTGATCAAACGAGGGAGCATGTTAGAATACTATACTATAATATTCAAATATTATGTAGTAATTGCAAGAGTTTCTTGAGGTCCAATCCCGATAATCACAATGATATTAAGATGATGATGTTTTTCTTAAATGTATCAAATATATTAAAAATGACCATCCCTTCATATATCAACAAACGTACGGTGCCATTATCTCTATGGTTTGTGTTTCTTCCATTGATCAAATGAGGGAGCACGCTAGAATACTATACTATAATATTCAAATACTAAGTAATAATTGCAAGAGTTTCTTGAGGTCCAATCCAATGGATTGTTATTGTCATTTATATCAGGAAGTAGAGTTGTATATAAGCACGACAAAATGGAAATACAAACAATTAATATGAAAAGCTTCTCTCAATATTTGCATCTATCTTCAATTTATCACATAAAATTATCCATAACGAAGGGAAACAAATCGATCGCATAAATTAAGATCTTAAGTGTTATTAAACCAAAGAGACAATGAAAAAGATGATTTTGTAATGGCTTTTTTTTCCAAGTACTTTAATCAAATCCTAAGACCTCAGTTTTGATTTATGTTAACGTAAAGACAAATCTTGATTAGGTAAATTAGGAACAGAATGGTTAGGTTAGGTAAGTCAAGAAGATCATCAAAAGAAACCACTCCGATTTGAGCCATTTGAAAACACTCTTCCGGTATATAGTTTTAAAACCCGATCAAGCTTATTTAAAATTAAAACCTAATTGAGTTAAAAAGTAAAATAAAAAATCAGATTAATTTAGTAATTCAATTAATTCGGTAACATAAGATCAAAAAACGAGTTACAACCGTTTAATCATTTATTTTATTTTTTAATAAAAATAATATCATTTTATTTTGTAAAAAAATAATTAATTGAGGGTTGAACCTCAATAATTTAATAATTCGGTTAAAACCCGATAACCTGAACCTGAATTTTAAGCTGGTTGACCAATGGACCTGTTTTAAAAACCATGCCACCACCTACTTGAGAAACTCCTCGCGTTACCCTTAAAAAATTCGAGAACAACTCCTCTACAGAATCCGAGCCCGCTATACCATTTCTAGCCTCTAAATCGGTTCACAAAATCAGAATGGGTGTGGCAGCAAAAATCGCACCGTCGATGCTATCATCGGATTTCGCCAATTTGGCATCGGAAGCTCAGCGAATGCTCGATTGCGGCGCCGATTGGCTTCACATGGACATCATGGTACGACTCTACATTGAAACAAAAAACGAAATCTTTGGATTTTTCTTAGTATTGATTTAATTATTTTTGACAAAGAAACTGATTGGTTTCTTTTTTATAATTATTGTGTTTGCAGGATGGGTATAACCTCAATTATTGTCTCCTTCAAAAACCGTTTGTCCTTAATTACTGCAAACTTGTGATCCTCTTTGTGTTATCTCTGTTACTTAAGGTTGTTGGGTCTTTTTATTTTTTTAAGTTTCGGTTTAAATATTTGGGAGCTTAAAGTTTGCAGCTTTCATTCTATAATGAGTGAAAAAATTGATTTTTGTTAAATAATGTGTTAATTAATTGAGGCCATGGTTATTGCAAGGGGTAAAAGACTGGTTCTTTTGTTTGCGATTTCATTAGAAAGAAAGCTAGTTCACTACAAAATGGAACATGGGTTATTAAAAAAGTATTATGGTTATAGAAAGTAATATAGAAACAGGTGAGATCATAATGGAACAAAGGAGTGATAAGTGATAACACATGTTTAGGGCAGAAGACTTTTTTTTTGGTGCGTGTGCAGGCTTTCACTTAATGAATTTTGCGTGTTATACGTGATTTTAGAGCTTAGTTAGATTGTTTTGTTGTTTGAAAATGTGGTTGTTTATACGTGATTTTAGAGCTTAGTTAGATGGTTTTGTTGTTTGAAAATGTGGTTGTTATCTTGTTCTTGTATGGAATTCGCTTAAAACACTGGAAAAGCTTTGTTATGTGTGTTGATGTTTCTGCATCGGCTTTTTTCATACTGTTATTGTTGAATTGGTATATGTTCTTTTGTTGTTTTATCATAGGCACTTTGTCCCTAACCTAACAATTGGTGCTCCAGTCATTGAGAGTTTGAGAAAACACACAAAGTAAGATCTTTTATAGCCTTTGCTTAAGCTTGTTATTTCAATTTTGGCACACCGGCATTTTGAATAGTGTGATGAGCAATGTTATTGTTTCATTTAGGGCATATTTAGATTGTCACCTTATGGTCACGAATCCTCTTGATTATGTGGAGCCTTTGGGCAAAGCTGGCGCATCAGGATTCACGTTTCATGTTGAGGTATCCAGAGGTTGGTTATCATGCTGTTCACATTGTTCTTATTTCTCATGTAGCCTACCTGTTTTCACTTATACCGGGTTTTTTTTTTGGCAGATAATTGGGGAGAACTTGTCCAGAGAATCAAATCAAAGGGCATGAGGCCTGGTGTATCATTAAAACCTGGTACGCCGATTGAAGAAGTTTATCCTTTGGTATGAAATTTTTACTCCGATATGTTGCAACAAAATAATGAACAGCTTCTACTTTGTTTTAAATTTTTTGGTTTTGCAAGTTAGCTAGACGTAAGTTGAGCAACAGGAATATGGGAATTGTTGTGATGTATAAGGTATATGTTGTTCATAACTTACAGGTTGAAGGTGAAAATCCTGTGGAAATGGTCCTTGTGATGACTGTAGAACCTGGATTTGGTGGACAGAAGTTCATGCCAGAAACAATGGATAAGGTATCATGAAATACCTTTGTTGCTCATTTCAATATCATGTAGCTGCCCTGCCTTCTTGTTTGCAGTAACATTGTTCATTTCCTATTATTAGGTACGGGCTCTAAGGAAGAAGTATCCATCACTTGATATAGAGGTGAGTGGATCGCTATTTGTTGTCTATAATTCAGCATTAGCACGAGTAATCTTGAAATTGAGACAAGTCCATCTCATGAGAAATATCAGATGCCTTTTACTTTTCTCCATGAACACTGATTAAACACATGAAACTTTGGCTTGCAGGTGGATGGTGGTTTAGGGCCTTCAACGATTGACATGGCAGCTTCAGCTGGAGCAAACTGCATTGTGGCAGGAAGTTCAGTGTTTGGAGCTCCTGATTCAGCCCAAGTAATATCTCTCATGAGAAAGAGTGTTGAGGAAGTCCAGAAAAACAACTGATACTGGTAGATGCAAGACTTTTCAGCATTGTATGTGTAAGGAATACATGTCGTTGTCCTGTTTGGCATTTTGGAATTCATAAAATGGCATCTTTATCTCCCCCTTTCAAGTCTACCCATGTCTACAACACTGAAAGAAGCGTAGACCACTATGTACGATAATGAGATCCATGGAGGGTCTGAATTAAGTTAATAAATGCATGTGCCTTTCACAACATAATTTCCAATAATCCTTATTTACAGCTTCCAATTTGTATCTCTTATAGTTAAAATGGTGCCAGAATCTTTGAGTTTGATAATCGGGTACCAATATGTCTTGCCTTTTTTTTTTTTTTGGTTTAACCTGACTATTCTATTAGATTGGATTACTACCTTATACGAAGTCTACAAGTTTTGTCAACTGCCTTAGTAGGGAGTTTTCCTGTTTATATATATATATATATATATATATGTCTTCAAGTTTTTGTCAACTGCCTTAGCAGGGAGTTTTACTGTTTATATATATATATATATGTAGCAATGGAAGTGTACTGCTGATGTTGGATTATGATAATTTTTTTTGAAACAATCTTCATTTAAGGAATAAGAAGAAAATGTATATCATCGTACAGATTAGATGAATCAGCTGCATCTAGGTATCAATTGAGGCTTTCACATATTTCCAGCTGCTCTTTTACCATTTTACAGCATCTACACATCTATTTGGTCAGAAGGATGAAGACGGAGATAAGGAAAGGGAGGAGAATGGTAAGAAGATGAAAGTAGAATATCTAATCTTAACTTCTCCAAATGGATTTGAAGAACTTCAGGATACAATTGGGAATAGGTAGTCCTCCTTCCCTTCTGATTTGTTCAGTGACTCTGAGGAGTTAAAAAGAAAAAGAGCTTGAGAGGGCAAACCCTTTCATCCAGTTTACCCGTCCATCTCCTTTTCTACTCAAACACATAAAGTTGCCATTAATGACAATAAGTCTTCAATTTCTCTACTGCAAAACGCATCTAAGTTCTAAGTTTTAAGACAAGTAAAGCATGAAACATTGTTGTTTTTCTCTCTGGCATGTGCTACGTCTGAGATCCTTTAAGGAAGTGGCAAATTAAAGGAGAGAAAGATTGCTTTCCGAGCTGATTTTATAGATTAGATTTCCTTCCTACCCTGTATCTGTTGCCTCTCCTTTTCTTTTCCCAGATTAGATTTCCCTTGAATTAATATTTCCTCGGATTCAAAGCTAATTGTCTAGATTCCACTCGCACGTGCTGTAGCATTTCTGACTTGATCTTGTTAGTATTGCACGTGAGAGACCTTGGTACATGCTCATCGAGAAGCAACCCTTCACGTCCCTCGGCCAAAGCATGTTCCACATATAGAACTGTACGCATAGTTTTCTTCTTTTTATTACAAAATCAGTGACCAGCACGTGTTATCACGTGCATGTTCGAACCCTCTGTTTTCGGTCCATTCAAGCTCGGACACTTTTTAAGCCATAACGAGCAAAAGGGACATTAGCAGGGAGTTTGTTATCTCGGGAGGTTACGCAGCCATCACCCTCTCTCCTTCATACACAGAGTCATGTTTTTTTGTTTTAACAAGCCGGATTAATTTGGGGGCATTCGGTGGTTTCTTGTCGGATGAAGAAGTCCTCCACTCAACCTGATCCAATCAAGTTGGAGGTAAATATAGGTGATAAATCTAAACATTCTTAGTCGGAGATGGATGGATCAATCTAGCTCCGATCAAATCCACTGTGATTCCAATTTTTATCACCAATAAATGTAATAAAGGTAACTAAAACTAAAACTAAAACTAAATCTAAAACTAAGATTTGGAAAGGAGAAGAATTTTGGGTACTTGGGCTAAAAGTGAAACACGTCATTATGGCTGGGAAAGCTAAATCCTAAAAGTCTCTTGACATTGACATGCCACCTTCTAATTTTCATAGTGGCCGCCCCCTTGTTTCGATCATTAATTCACGTAGAAAAACTTGCCATCTCCTTTTTGTGTCACACAGCTTTAGAGAGCACACATGGCTAGACTCTACTATAGCCTTATATCATTTGAAGCTGAATTTAGGTGCATAACCATATCTTCTTTGAAGTTATCATTGGAGTCTCTCCTCCTCCTTGTAGACAAATGATTAGCTATTTGATTTATATTTTGTTATAAATTACAGTTATTTTTTATAAAAAAAATTAAATATGTGGGCTTTTTATATATGTTTTTTAATTAAAATAAATTAAAAATTATATGTGTTAATAAAAAAATAAATTCATTAATGATAACTAAGAACATAATAGAAAAAAATAAAAAAATCAATATAAATTAAAATATTTGAATTTGAAATATTGGCTATTTACCTGATTCCTGATTATATTTAATGACTCTATTTAATAAAAAATAATTTTTTATTTAATCAAATAATAGTAAAAATAAATAAATGTGAAATCAAATAAATAAAATTAAAAGAAAAAAATATCAAGCAATGTTGTGTTTCTTAGAAATTCTATTCAAAAATAAATATTTTTTTATTTTACAAAATAAAATTCATTTACATAAAATATAAAAATAATATATATAGATCAATTAGAATAATCTCTGAAAAAATTAAATACATATAGAATAAATAAAAAATAACTATTATTTAAAAAAAGCTAAATACAAAAGAAAAAAAGAAAATTAAAAAGTAAGGGTATTAATTTAAATATAAATTATGAAATAATAATAATAGTGATAATAATAATGTACGTTTACTTAATAATATCCGATGATAATTCAGTATGTTTACTTAATAATATCCGATGATAATTCACCATACTCTGTACTTTTCATGACATTGCTGCTTGTCAAACTGGGATATCTATGGCCATGTTGACCTATCAACCCCTAGTTTCTCTCTCGTGCCTCCGCTTTACCATACATGGACATCTCTTCGCTACCTGTTCATATTATTCCCTGTCAAAATACAGATCATTTCTAATATCCATTCTCCCTTGACAAAATTAACAAGCTCAAGTAGTCTGCATCTCGATCAATCCCAAGAGAATATTTATACAGATTTTGTATACGTAGATCTAAAGATATGCCCCATAGCTGTTATCTCCATGCATGCTTTATGTGCCTAATTCGAGGTTCATGAACAGGAGCCCTCCTTGAATTTGTTAATCTTGGGTTGTGCTTCCAAGTATGCGACTAATTTGCCAAAGATAATTTCACATGGTCTGTCTTGGAATTCTTTACATCATGAAAGCATTGAAGTAGTCGCTAGCATCATGATTTACATGAAGGAAAAGGTAGCCATGTGAACCTTCTACTTGGCTAGCCAATAGTAATAGTTTGGAATTAAAAAAAATTATTATTTTTTATTGTTTTAAATAATTTAAATTTTACGGTTGTTAGTATGATAACTGCTTAAAATTTATATATTTATTAATTTTAGTGTTTATGAAATTAATTGAAATATACATAAACCGATTTAAATATTAATATTAATAATAATAATAAAAAAAAGTTAGTCTTATCCATGCTTAAAATTCATCTGGCTAAATGTGATTTGACGAGGAGACACACGCAGGATCAGATTGATGTGGAGGAGAAATGTCTGCCATATTTGTGCATGATTTTAATAATGTACATATGTAGTATGTAGTATATGCTTCAATGTGAGAATGTTTTTGACATGCATCTACATGTCACTGCCTGTGTATTTTCTCAGACAGGTTCTCAAAAACACCACCTTATACTTAACATGTATGGATATAACGTAAGGTAAGAGTTCTGAACAGGAGTTCTCTTGTCTAATTAGGCACATGCATGGATGGACTGATGTGCATATTTTTGGAAAAGTAAAGCAGGTTTGAAGCCCAAGAAGTGGTTGAAAGAGTGGTGACTGTAATCAGCAGCAGTTGAAAACTTTGGGATGGATAGCCACCCCTTAGCTTAGGGAATCAAGTCCAAGGGTAGATGGTTACCAAACAGCTGGAATCAGACAAAAAAATATACAAGTTCTTTGCTACACCCAAGAGTTCTGTCTCTGAAAATCTTGAAATAAATAGCTGCCTCCACACCATTTTTGTATAGATCCAAAATATTCACCCTTCGGAGTGAGAAAAGCCCCTTTTTCATGTTTTAAATAAGTGTTCTATGTAGAAGTTAGTGGTTATGGGCATGGTTCCACTTATCAGTAAGCTCTACTTTGGAGCTTTCGCCTTTTTATTAATCTGTTTACTTGTCTCTGCTCTTGAACAGAACTTGTTGAGCTGCCAGACAACATCTCCAGATGCTCCTGGCTACCATTGTAACAGTAACGGATTGCAGGATCAGTGCAAGACATTTGCTATTCTTCACACTAGCTTATACTTCTCATCTCTTTCCAACTTAAGCTTTTATTTGGGTTTAGATCGGTTTGTGATCGCGGCAACAAACGGCTTTTCTGCCAACACTGAGTTTCTGCCGAAAGATCAGCCTTTGCTGATACCGATTGACTGCAAATGCAATGGTGGTTTCTTTCAGGCTCTTGTGACGAAAACTACCATCAAAGGAGAGAGTTTTTACAGCATTTCTAAGTCACTGGAGGGACTAACAACCTGCAAAGCCATTCGAGAGAAGAACCCAGGTATCTCACCGGAGAATCTAAATGGTAAAGTTCGGTTACAGGTACCCTTGAGATGTGCTTGTCCATCCTCTACTGAAGTCATTCTAGCAACAAGACTACTGCTTTCTTACCCGGTAAGTGCAGGCGATACAATCTCGAACCTTGCTATTAAGTTCAATACTACTCCAGAAGCTATTACATCCGCAAATAACAGATCATTGACAACCTTTAAACCCACAAGCCTTGTACCTCTGACATCTCTTTTGATACCACTAGGTGGCAAGCCTACCCTCGGTCCCCTTGCAAATCCTAATGAACCCAATTTGCATATTCCTGCAAGTAGCCTTCCAGTGATCAATCGACATAAGAAAAGGTCCAAGATGTGGAAGACTGGTGTTTATATTGCTGTTACTGGAGCTGTAGTTGGAGTAGGCATTGCTATTGCAGCAGCTTTCTTGGTGATCCAATTGAAGAAGAAGAAGCAAATTTTAATCAAGGAGGCAGATATGGAGCTTCAGCAGCTTAGTTTAAGTGTAAGAACTACAAGTGACAAGAAAGTCTCATTCGATGAATCACAAAATCATTTTGATAGTCAGATCACTGAAACCACACCCGGTAAGGTGTTTGTGGAGACTTACACTGTAGAGGAGCTCAAAAAAGCAACCGAGGACTTCAATTCAAGCAATCAAATCGAAGGTTCTGTGTATCATGGTCGTCTCAATGGGAAGAACTTGGCAATAAAGCGCGTGCAACCAGAAACTATTTCAAAAGTTGAGCTCGGGCTCTTTCAAGATGCAACTCACCATCATCCAAACATAATTAGAGTGGTGGGAACATGTTTGAGTGAAGGTCCTGATTCATTTTTGGTTTTTGAGTACGCTAAAAATGGATCTTTGAAGGATTGGCTTCATGGGGGACTGGCCATGAAGAACCAATTCATTGCCTCCTGCTACTGTTTCCTAACGTGGAATCAGAGGCTGAAGATATGTCTTGATGTGGCGGTGGCCCTACAATATATGCACCATATCATGCACCCTAGCTATGTTCATAGAAACATCAAGAGCCGGAACATCTTCCTCGATGAGGAATTCAATGCGAAGATAGGAAATTTCGGCATGGCAGGGTGTGTTGAAGATGATACCAAGGAGCCAGACTTCAATTCAACCAACCCTGCCTCCTGGAGCCTTGGATACTTGGCTCCTGAGGCTCATCAAGGTGTAGTTTCCTCTAGCACAGATATATTTTCTTTTGGGGTGGTTTTGTTGGAGGTTCTATCTGGACAAACACCTATAGCAAGGCCTAACGACAACGGAGAAGGGAGCATTTGGCTGTCGAAGAAAATCAAGTCCATTTTGCTATCAGAAAATGCGGATGAGCTGAGAGAATGGATTGACAGTGCATTGGGGGAGAATTACTCATTTGATGAGGCTGCCACTTTGGCCAATATTGCACGAGCTTGCACAGAAGAAGACCCTTCCTTGAGACCAACTTCTGGCGAAATCGTCGAAAAGCTGTTGAGATTGGTGGAAGAATCCACAGAAGGAGAGCAGATACTAATCTGTGAAAGCTCTTGCAAACCTCTTGTCAAGTCAACTGCAACAAGTGTTTAAATAGCTGATTAAAGGATCCTAAGCAAGGCATAAGAAACACTAGTTCAACTCAATGTATCATAGCATCTTGATGTGGGCAGTGGGATCCTGTATATAAGTAAGATTAATTTCTGTGAAGAAAAAATATATCATCAAATTGAGCAGAGAAGGCAGGTCTCTTCTACTTTGTATTCTCCATGTTTCTCCAATAATACTTGAATTCTAATGTTAAACATTTTCTAGTTTTTTTTACATCTCCTGATGTTGCTTTTCTCCATGGAAGCATGTGCTTCTTTGACCGAATCTGTGAAAGATTGGCTATTAAGAATCGAGCCAAAGTCAATTAAAAATCTTGCAACAAAAGGCTAACAGATAATTTAGTGAAAAGGCTGTCACAAGCCCATAACAAGCATCATGAGACACTGAGAAAAGATCACTATAGATGTTGGATGAGCATAAAATACATGTCAGAACCCTGAGGGATTGATGAATTTAAGAAATATTGCTTATGAAAGAATCTCCATCATCAACCTTTGCGATGGAAAGCTTATAGATGCCTTTTGTAGTCAGTCACGAGGAAATTCGAGGGTGGTTCAGCTTCCAATGGTGAAAGAACTGGGTCGTGAACATGGGATGGGCCCAAATATGGGACAGTTTTTTCAAGGGAGGTCCAAGGCCCAATATGTACTGGACGCCTCTACTCCTTCATTACGTTATTCAAGGCCATATTTAGGATAGAGGGAATAATATTGTAGATTACTCTCTCTTTTAATTTTAATTTAATTTAATATGGATTTTTCTTCTCATTATTTCCTGTGGAGCAAGGATTATGGTATGTGTGACCTCTATAAACATGATTCTCAAACATACCCCTACATGCAATTTTACATATATATATAAACAACAAACTAAACACAATCTGTGCATCTTAAATTTTCATCTCTATATGAAAATTAACCTAGACGAACAAATATTCGACTAGCTCATAAAATGAACAATCTTGTTTTTTCGATTTTGCATGTCCAAATACGCATGAAAATAAAGTTATTATAAAGTATAGGCATAATTGTTTAATCAATTAAAATGCATGATGAAATCCTAGCCCTAAACATCAATTTATAAAAAATCCAGATTGATGTTGAAATTCATACCTGGTACGAATTATTTTTTTTAAATATTGATTATTTTAAATTCTTGACAAAACCTTAAGCAAATCCATAAAAAGACCCTAAAGTTTTATGTTAAATTATTAATCTGAATAAAACTCTATATGAAATTGAAAGCTTATAGGATGCTTTGATGTTCTCACTAAGAAATTCGAGGCTGGTTCGGCTTCAATTGCAGAAAGAACCATGGAGTAGACATGGATGGCCTTGAATATGCTCGATTCTGGGGAAGCTTTTGCAAGAGAGGTTCAATATCTATATAGTTATTAAATCCAAGAGAGGTTTAATATCTATATAGTTATTAAATCCAATTCGAGAATTAACCGGTAAAAAAACCAGATCCCAAGTTAGACAGGATCATATTAAACCTATTTAGGATAGCTGGTTTTCGTTTGCTACAGAGGTATTGGTACTGGACGCCTCTACTCCTTCATTGGTTTATTCAATACCATATCTAGGATAGAGTGAATATTATATTTCATAATATTGCAGATTAATTTCTCTTTTTAATATGGATTTTTATTTTCATTGATTATTCCGGTAGAGCGAGCAAGGAAAATGGTATGTGTGACCTCTGTAAACATGATTCTCAAATATAACTGTACATGAAATTATACAAAATAATTACTTATTTTAATAATTCATTTATTACCTAAAAACACTAAAAACATTTGGCATGTTAACGGTGGTTTTATATAAATAGTAAAACATCTTCTCATATGCTTTGTACCCTAAAATAATTTCTAGACCCTCATTTATGTTATTTATTTATTATTTTTAATTTGAAAAACTGCTTTGTACCCTAAAATAATTTCTAGACACTCATTTATGTTATTTATTTATTTATTTATTATTTTTAATTTGAAAAAAATATTATTGAACTCCAAAAATTCTAAAACATTAATCTAAATTAAAATAATATTTTAAAAGATTTTATATAAAATTTTAAAATCTAACGATTAGATTGAAAATTACATGCTATAATGTTAAAATAATTAGTTTGTGATTTTTCAATGAAAATCTAAATTGTTTTATTTTATTTTTGTTCAAATCATATAAATTATTTTACTTAATTCTTGAGATTATTTTCTTATCTCAAATATGTTTATATAGTATTTTTGCTGTTTATTTTCTTTACAGACTTATTATTGTTTTTTTTTAACTATGATTTACAGCAATACATACTAAGTGGTAATTCTTTATCTATCAAAGACCCCTCGAATATGCCATGAACGGCATCTCTAACTCTTTTATATTGTTTTTATCAGCTATACCTCCGCAAACTAGATACAATCCACCCTTCCACCTTTATCACAGAGTATTGACCCACCCACCCAGGTCGATTTTTATAAATATAATCACAATTGCTCCTTTTCCTAAAACGGAGCAGGAACGCGGAGCTCCGATTTAGAAAAATTGCATGGCGAGCCATGCAATCTAGACGCACGCCTCGGTCAAAAATGTGGAAAAAACAGCACTGATAGGACCAATTTGAAGAGCTGAACACTTATCTAGATTTGGTCAACGCTGATTCTATGTTGGCCGTGTGAAGCCTATATGACTTGTTGACGAGGAGAGGAGACAACAAGGAAACATCCACAAATTCAATCTATCAAAGAACTAGCAAGAGGAAAAAAGATTGCAAAAAAAGCAATGTCTAGAATTAATTAAATGAAACAAATCTTTCTATATATATATATATCATGAGTACGAAGTAATTAAATATGCCATATATAGGGGAGGCATTTATTTCATAAATATCCAACGAATCATCCTACACCTATCTAAAACTAAATTAATGAAAAACATCATGTACAAAGAATGAATATATATGTGTGTGTCTGAATTGATAAATCTAGGAATGATCTAACATCATAACCTTAAATTCATCAAAATTGAGGACTCCATCACCATTGAGATCAAACCAAGAGATCATAATTCTGCATTCATCAATGGTCTTAGACTCGCCCAATCTGCTAAGCATCCTCTTCAAACTCTTGGGTGTAATACAACCACTTTCTTCCATTTCATACATTTTGAAAGCCTCCTTCAAAGACTTCACTTTCTCTTCCTCTTCACCCCCCTCAACAAGCTTAACGAAATCTTCGAGCCCCAGTGAGCCATCTCCGTCCAAATCTGAAAACTCCACCGCTGCCTCTGCATCTGCAACGGAAAGCTCTCCACCCATTTTCCTAACACATTGCTGCAACTCCGAAGGCGATATCTTCCCATCTCCATTCTCATCAAAGTGGTTAAACACTCGCTCAAATTGCTGCCTCTTATTCATCATCAATCTAATGGATCAAAACTAATAAATAGTAGAATAGTAGTTATATATAAGGTTCCGTACTAAAATGAAAATGAAACACAAACGCGCGTATATATATATATATATAGATATCAGGAATTTTTGGAAAGAAGAGTTGGCATCGAAATCTTACTGTTAGGTCTCGTGAGAAATGGAGGCAATGTAGTTATATTCCTCGTATGATGCCGCGTGTCGTGAGTTGACCAGCAACTTGTGAGACAAGTGGTTGAAATGAAGCCCAGTGGGTAGTTTCGTAAATTAGAAAAGGAAAGAAGACCGATGAACTTATACGACATGCATGGGTCACGCGATATGGCATCAGATGAAGTTCTTTTCTTTCGTGTTCAACGAAAGACCAAAAGGAATCAACGAAGAAATGACCATTCGGGCATGGCAAAACAGACTTTGAAATCTTACAAACATAGCGTCTCTCATATGCCGGCGTGTTTGTCTTTAAATGCTTTCTTTGGGTTAGAAAATATATTAAAATAATATTTTTTTATTTTTAAAATTTTATTTTAAATGTAGAACGTCGTCAAAATAATTTTAAATGTTTTAAAAAATAATTTTAAATAAAAAAATATATTTATAACAAATAGCGTTCAAAAGGCAACGCGAAAAACAAAACGTTCCTCATGTGTGGAATGTTCGAAATATATAGAAAGTTATGGATAAAGACGAAGAAGTTCTCTTTCCATCTTTTCCACGAACGACTTTTCAAAGCGCAATAACCATCACCTAATTAGTTAACAACGCCTCTCAGATTCAGACTCGTCGGCATGACACAGCCCACTCCGCACGATGTGTGTGTATATATATTTTGTATGAAAAAAATTGTATATAATTGATATTATACTTGTAATTATTTTTTAAATAACTTTTAATATTAAATTATATATTAATAATTTTTTATTTTTTAAAAATTATTTTTGATATTAATATATCAAAATAATTTAAAAATACTAAAAACATATTAATTTAAAATAAATAAAAAATAATTTTTTTAAATTTTTCAGAAATACTTTTAAAATATAAAAATAAATATTTTTTATGTGTGACTTTCTAAATCAACATAAACAATAAAGAGTCATTACAATAAAGAATCATTGTGATGATATGAAAGGGATTAATTGTATATATATGGTTTATGTACTTTTTATATTTTTAACGTGGTTTTTTTAATTTTTAGCTTTTTTTTGTTTGATTGATCCTTTACTCGAGATATTTTCTTAATGTAATTATTTTTATACAATTTTTACTTTAATTATTTGAAACATAAAAAACAAAATCCAACACACATCTTCTCATATATCATATGATCCATTTATAAAATAAAATGATAAATTAGTTGCATTGAGGTGTTGTTAAATTATAGTTTATATATTAGATAGTTATAAAGAAATTTAATTAAACTTACAAATAATAGTAAATCAACTATTAGTATATTTATTATCTAGAAGTTTCATGGGTAATAATAAATAATTAATAAAAGTGGTATATATTAATTTGTATGTAAAATTGAGATTTACAAAATTAGTATTTCAAATAAATAGGAGGACGAGTGTTTAATGAAATTTCAATATAAAAAGAAAATTTCACCTATACAAATATAAAGTAGTAGTGCTACTTCAATAAAAGTTTGAAAAATTTTGTAAATATTCATGAATTTCAAGAGGAGCACAAAGCCTTATTAATACTATAATAATGTTGAATTTTTATCTTAGATTAATTGGATCATGTGTGTAATATTTTCAATTCTATTGAATAAAATCCTAATATAAGCTCTTTTGCCATCATGATTTCTTTAGAGTTTGAAAATGCTTACACTAAAAAGAATAAATCTAAAGATGCTTTTTTTATGAGTGAAACATGGTGCCCCGCTAATATTACAAGCTAAATGAAGAATTGTTGTTAAAATATAGCTTGTATAGTATTTAGTTAAAGAGAACTTTGTTCAAAAGGTAAGAGGTTTTGTTGTATCTTATAATATGAAGGACATCAATTTAGAAGTTAGAGGGAAAGCCTCTCTCTCTCTCTCTATATATATATATATATATATGTTAACTTTGTTAGTATTTTTAAAATTAATTAATCTAGTAATTATATATGACACCTCTTACCAAATCGTTCAAATAATTTAAATAAAGAGTCACTTTTTAAACTCTACAAACATATTAGTTTAAATAGTTGTGCCTTTGAACTTTACAAACACATTGGTTCAAAGAGGTGTACCTTTAAACTTTACAAACACATTGATTTGAAGAAGGGTGTGTCTAAACTTTACTGACACATTAGTTTAAAATGATATTATTTTTTATATAAATATTAGTTTGATGTTGACAAAAATTAATTAGAATTAATATTATTCTCTCCCTAATTTTCTCTATACAAACTCTTTGTTTACATTTATCAGAAATAAAATAGAAGTTATTAATAAACTTATAGAAGTTATTATTTATAAGTTTAAAGTCTTGTTGTATCCTAAAGGTATATTGCTTTAACTCTACAGTAAATATAGTGGGGGCATTTAATACCTTAATAATAGTGATTTTTATGCCTCAAAGCTTGTATGATAAATACTCTAAAAATAAGTATATAAATATTTAATGAATAGGAAAAAACATAAACCCTTTATGTAAGTGGTTCAAAGGATCTATATAACATTTGAACTTTATCATGTTACTTGAATGGAAGAGTTGGAACATCATCTCCTCTTGATAGATTTAATGAGGAATAAATATTCCTTATATAATATTAAAAACACTCTTGTTCTTAAAATTAAAGGCTTATTATCTCATTTATTGCAATTCCTTATTAAAAATCATTGACTTTACTTTATCATCCAAAGGTATATAAATCCCACAAAAAAAGTTTGTTTTGCAGATGTTAGATCTTCTATCACCAACCATTAATTTCATAAATTTTGGAGAATAAAATATTGATATGAATGTGTGAACATCATCTATCCAAACACTAAAAAACCCCTCATTCCTAAGCATATTGAATTTTGAATCATCATCAATTGATGATGTCCAAAAAAATTGGTAAAAAAACCATCAATTATTCTTTATGAACTAGTTTTTGACATATTTAATCACTATTTATGGCAAACAATTAAGATATCTTGGGATAGGACGTGTCATTGACCCTCTTACAGTTGTTGAAATATTTGCTTCGTTAGAGTTTTAACAACTTATTAATCAAGTGTAAGCTCTTACCCTACCCGTGTTGGCATCCTAATAGAAATACCAGGCCTTGTCACCCTAGCAAGTTTCAACATATAAGGTAGCTCCCTCAATACCAACCTTTCAACCATAAATAGTCCTTTCTACTAGGAGACAATTTTATTATCAAAAAAAGGTTGGGTAAAATAACTTGGAAAGCTTTTTGCCTTGATGATCTCCCAATCTTTTTAGATATCGTTCTCATAGATATAAAGCTCTCCCAATAATCGATCACTTTTAACATGATCTTTTTAACCACCACATGATTGAAGTTCGATATCAATGTTATTGTTCCATGCCAGAATCATTTAGCCCCTTCAAAATCCATTTGATAAAAATCAGGAAAAAGTATGGATGCTAAATACATCTAAGATGAAGTCAACACTCCTCATGAGATAAAACAGTCACATTTATCCAGACGAGTTTTACACACCCTCATCCTTAAAGAGTACATCTCCATCAAGATGACTTTGAATAACTATGATGCTCTCATAAATCCACGAGAATACGTTCAAAACATGTGTAGTAACCTTGAGTTGGTCATTTAATACGGTGATGTCATATGTAAGTTTCTTCATACGATCTTTAAAGGGTCAAAACGAGCCTGGAATAACAACCTTGAGTCAAGCTCTATCACAGGTTTTAATGATCTTTGTGTTAAACTTGTGTCATGATTTAGCATTAGTATGCCTGTCAAGAGGAGCTCAACAAAACTCTTTGGCATTACTTCATCATGAAAGGAATCTCCTAGGGTATATTAAAGAGATTCAACAAAGAAATGTTCAAGGTGAAGGAATTCATGGAGCCAATAGCTTTAAAGGCTTTGATAAGTGGAGTGAGGAAATGTTCTTTATAGAACACTTTATATGCTCTGCTAGAAAGAAACTTGTTGAAGTTAAAGAAAGTCATTAAGAATCATATATGGGTGGAAGAAGGTAGTGTAATGAGGTATGGACCTTCCTATTTTACTAAAAGGTTGAAGATGAGAAACATTTAAAATAAAATCACTCTCCCATTAAAGATAATAATTCTAAAGAAGGTCAAAAAAGGTCTAACACGATCAAAGAGTTGATGTTTTATCCCAAGTGCAGGAGTGTCAAAATAATAAATAACTTGGCAAGACCGGGGTCGAACCATAGGGAAATTTACTATATAAATTACAAATAATAATAATAATAATAAGAACAACAACAACAACAACAACAACAATGATGGTGATGGTAAAGATGAGTTAAATAGGACTTTGAGACGTAAGATTAATGTGAAGATTATACAATGATAAAAAAAATGTTAAGGTTAGAAGATACACTAATAAGATTAGAGATAAGTAAGGTATAAACTCATTATTAATTATGAACATGATCATATTAATCATCTTATTTACATAACACCATACTTATAAATTTTATCAAGTATTCATGATGCTAACTTATGTTGA